GAATATTGCATTTAAGCCTAAAATGGCAAGATTACTTAAAATCTTTCCTGCAGTCCTTTGTGTGATATATGTAAGAAAATGAATGCTATATAAGAGAATGAAATAGATCAACTTCTTATACTTTTACCTAAGAGTCTAATTATTTAAGTAATATTGATTAATATCTGAATGATTAAAAAATAAGTCAATATTAAATATTAACTCCACAAAATCTAAAATAAAGTGGCCACATTACATCGGACTACATTATATAGATAGATTAAAAGCAACTGATTAGAAGCCTTTTTAAAAATTTAAAATTTCTGACATCATTTTCCACCACTCCATCAATTCTTCCTTCTCCTCTTCTTTCCTTTCAGAAAATGACTCCAGTTCAAAATCAAGCTAAAGGAGAAAAATCAAGAACATATTGTTACCAAACTGCATATACATTCTTTAAAACTGATATAAAATATATAAGAGCAGTTTCAGAGTTCATTGAATAAGCTCAATCATCTGTTAAATGGGGATAATAATGGTACTTACCTATTAGGGTTCTTACGAAGATTACATATAAGTCACTTAAATACGCCTGACACTAGTAAGTGCTTATTATTAGCGTAATTGATATTATAGTGCTTAGTTATTATTATGATCACTCACCCCAACAGCAGGACTGTAAGGTACTGCCACTTTCTTTGTTATCGCCAGATAGCCTGGAGCTGAGGCTGTGAGTTTATAGTTTCCGGGTACAAGCAATCTCCAGTAATCACCATCCTTTGCTGCAGGAGAACAGGATATCAAATCACAAGGCACAATTAGGCTATCTGGGAATACCTACGACAGCTTAGTTCAATTTATATGATTGCTTATTCTTAAAGTAGATATATATGGAATGTGATGGAATTTTTTTGAAAAGAATGTGAAGCTCTCTCTATAGGCCTCCTTTCTTATAGCTACTTTACAAATATTAATATTTAATTGTCTAATAAACTTTTTAAGATCATGGATCTTCTAATCACATCAGGAGTAACACAGGGGAAAGAATACATAGTCCCCAAGCAGTGGGGCCAGAGCATCTGAGCACCATGTTTTGTTTCTTGCCAGGTAAAGACCTGATGGTCTGAGAGTCTAGATCAGTGTTTCACAAACTGGAGCCCAAAGGTAGCTTCACCAGAATACCTGAAGTACTTGTCAGAAACTTAGATTTCTAAAAATTCAGAATACTTTGGTTTCCCTAGTCCATTTAATCCATTTTCCTAATCAGTGCTTCTCAACTGTAGGTGTGTATCGATCGCCTAGGGAACTGACAAAATGCAAAATCCGATTCACTAGATCCAGAGTCAGGCCTGAGATTCCGCACCTCTAACCAGCTCCAGGGTGTTACGCAAGCTGCTAATAGGGGCCACACTTTGAGTAGCAAGGTCCTGGTGGACAATTCACACTTTCTCCTGTTTCCTAACACCTCTAACACATCCTCCGTCCTCACTCTCAGTTGATACCTTACATCTTGTTTCACGGTGAAAATAGATACTATTAATAAATAAATAATAAATAAATAAGCCCCCATCACCACATCTTAAAATCTTCCTCTAGACCCCACATCTCCTTTCAGGTAGTGCCCATTTATCTTCTTTGCTTTATAGAAAGACTTCTGGAAG